GTAGTATAATAAGGAACCAGTACATTATGGTCTGGCGGCCGTGCTTGACCCGTGGGCCTTGGGAGCTGGGTTTTTATTAAGCATTAAACAATATGCACAAACATGCATATTAAAGGCAGATCGGACCAAAAAGACACAACATTAATAAAACAGATTTTTACAACGAAAGGAATTTAGACATTGAGACACACACTTTTTTAGCATCAGCAGATTTAAAAAAGAAACATTAACTGAATTAAGTTATAGTAATGGTTGAAACAAGGGCTCAAGTTTCTCCATTTACTGCAGTGTCTTTGGTATTTGGCTACAACAAAAACAATGTAAACTTGGACTCCCAACATGTTTCTTTTTCCCAATCAATCAATACAATTTTAAAATTCCCAAATAGGTGAGTGAGTCTACCATCAGTTTTATTCAAATTTACCTTCACTTAATTTTTAACAAGTCTTTTAAACTGGTTAATTAATAAATTGTAATACGGAAAAAAACGTATTTGTTGAAAGGCTAAATGCTAACGGGCGGTGTGTTGCTGTGGTTGCTATGGTAACTAGCCCTGCTCTTCTCTGGCGGGAATCAAGGGAGTCGAAACTGCTTACACATGTCAAAATTGAAAGATAATTTTATTTAAAATAATTAAAAAAGACAAAAATAAACTGTATACAGAGGCAGAAAACGTTATGAAGACCACAAATGCACGATCTGAGTAATAATAACACTTCCAACACTAAAAGCCATCAGATGTATTGCTCTGGTTAATGTTAATAAACACAATATAAACATATGAAACGTTCCTATTTACGTGTCATAATTCAAAACCAGGAACATTTAGAATATTTTTTTAGAGATAGCAACTTTTTACTTTTTTTTTTATTATTTTTATTATGTTGTATATATTTATCATTATATTCTTTTTCCATTTGCTTTCATGAATACGACATTCAGCCATCATAATTATAATATTAATAACATCATTTTTTAGCCACTTTCTGATGTCAGTCTTAAAAGTGTCCAGCTGGGGAGAGAAGGGGGCGGCCACGGGGGCGGCGGAGGAAGAGTCTGACGTGTCGCCGCTGGTCCACCTCTTCCTGTCGGTGTCAGCGGAGAAACTTCACCCTCTTTAGCTTCGCACAGTCGGTCTGTCATCCAGAGACCGAGTATTCCATCTCCCCTCGCAGGACTCTCCGTGGATTCTTGCTTTTGACAGCCGTGTGTTTGCCTTTGGACACAGCCTACGAGACGAGGACTCGCTTTAGACACATGACTCTAGTCTCGGGTTGTTTTTCTGACACCACAAAACTACCACAGGTCCGGGAAACTATCTATCCCTCCGTGGAAGCTAATTATCCCCAATAAGGCTAACCTGGCTAGCCTTTACTATCAATCCTCCGCATGTCACGTGGGTTAGCGTTTGTTTTATGCTAGTTTTTCATGTGAAGTGGAAGAAGAAGCTGTCATGATATCCTGACAGAGCACCGCTAGCGAGCTCAAGCCGGGCTAAAGCGGGCCAAAGGGGGCCATCGAGCAGTGCTGTCCCAAAGATATTTGTCCAGAGAGCCGGCAGAGACCCGGACACAGACCTCATGAATGGAACTTGGAACTACAGGTAAGTCATCCATCATCAGGGCTCTGTATCTCTATCACAGGTCAGGAACCTCTTTAGCTGAGAGAGTTACAAAAGTCTGCAACTTAAAGCTAAATAAAAGGATTTTCTACTTCCGGGTGGATCATCAAGACTATTGGTCCTCAATTGTCAATAATTCTGGTGATACGTGCTCGACCAATCAGAGCAGAGAGTTTTGTTCAAAAAGAGGAGGGGGCGGTTCTTTCCTAAAATTTGGGAAAATCCTCCTTTTATACCTTTTTAAACATGTATTTCTGTGGGAGCCATACATGTATTTGTTTTACTGTGAATGTGTGATTTAAAAGAAAGATCGACACATTTATAGTGAGATATCAGTAATGTAATATATTTATTATTTTGTTGATATAGAGTACATAAAAGATTCTTACTACAAATGCCTACTATTAGAGCCAGACAATCATCCAGAGAGCCACATCTGGCTCCTGAGTCATAGGTGTCTGACCCCTGCTCTATAAATTTATGAAGACTTCGTACATATAACCCTAACCCACATATTTTTGTGGATATGGTATTTGTGTTATTGGTAGTTACAATTAAAGTTTCTTGTGCAATGTGCAACACTACAGCTTCTGATTGTCCACTGACTGTCACTTTATCTACTTACCCTGACGCGATATGTATATAACTTGTATATCTACATGTATACAACAAAGCAGCTACTTATTTGGTACATTGTGTGTGCTCAGCCAATCAGCTCTCAGCCCAAAGCGTCAGATAGAGTAATAGTGACTCATAGAGCTCTTTCCTACATTCAGGCTCAGGATGACATGTTTCTCACTCATCAGATGAAGGCTTTGTTTATTTGTAAAGCACAGTTCATACACAAGAGGACGGTGTGTTGTGGCCTGGTTACATTACATTTCACATAGTTTCATTATAGAGCATGTATTTGAAGTGTTAATACTCTTTCTATAGTTGGAGAATCATTTCAAGGGATAGTATAGAACAAAGAGCTACATCTCCATGGCAACGAAGGTCAGGTTTGTGGAGATGCAAGCCCAGCGTCCATATTGCTTCAGTGCCATTTCCATTTTGACAAAGAGAGTGACCTACTGTACCGCGACTCAGTGGCTGTAAATGTGTGCAAGTTGTATTATGTGTTTCTGAAGTACATTCAAAGCAAAGTGACGGCGTGGTAATGAGTAGTCGTTCTAAATAAAAGTAGTCGTTCTAAATAAAAATCCCACTTCAAGTCGCAAAGACATTTCAATTTGATTAGTTTCAATCGTCATCCTATGTCCGTCCCACATGTCATTTTAATTTTTATAATCCTTTATTCGTACCACAGTACAATACCATTACTTCTGCGAGTGGGTAAAGTGTCTTGCTCAAGGACACAACGGCAGCAGACATCAGTGGGAGCCCGTGGAGGTGGTCTTGTGGTGAGCTCGAACCCACAACCTTCCGGCTCAAAGGCCAATGCTCTACACACTGAGCTACTGTACTGTGTCGCCCCCATATTCCTGGAATGGATTCTCTACATTAAACAATACTTTACAAATGTAACATATTATTAACCACTATTTTGGCTTTAATTAGCATGATATTTGTTTGCCAAATTCTTGCGGCCCTTTTCCTTATGTGTGAAAAGTCCCCAACTGTCCATCCCCATATCTTATTGACATCTCTGATCAAATGTTTATTTTGGTCTGAGTAAACTTTAACACTTCAAAGCAGCTTGTGTTGGAGAAATAAGCCTCCACTTTACCATTTCAAAACTCAAAGTCAGATTGGTTCATTTTTCTGTCTCTCGATGGAAAAACACCTTCTCTCTCTGTGTCTCTTGTAATCAGTAAAGTCTGGGTAATTTCCCAGAGCGGTGGTGAGTGAGAGCTCTGTACATTCCTGTTCACCGTCAGGCAGGTGTGTAGGCAGGTGTGTGGGCTCCTGTCGCCTCCCCCAGATGCCCCGGGTTTCCCCTGGACTCCCCTGGACTGACTCTGAGCCCACCCACACGGTCGAACCATGACAGAGGTGCACTTCCTGATGTCAAAGAGGAACTAAGATGTTTGGTGTCCTCTGTACCTTCACCCATCTGTATCTTTGCTTTGTCCTGTTTTGTCTGTGTATAAACCAGTCCATTTTATCTGTATAGCACATTTTGGTAAAAGGACATATGTATACATTTTGTTTTCAGAGTCCATATAAACCTCAGCCCTAACTGCAGATTGTAATGTGTCCCGAAAAAATAATTAAGCTAGCAGAATCATTTAGCCCAGGGCTCTCCAACCTGTGGCTCGGGAGATACCAGTAGCTCGCCAAAGGATTTAGAATTTAACGAATGATCTTGAATGAATACATTTTTAACTATTACATGTCTATAATAAGTACATATATATACAGTACTTTAGAACATTTTCCATGTGTTCTCCATGTTTTGTCATAATTAATACATAGATTTCATGTTTACAACTGCAAAAAGGAGCTCTCTGCCTAGCTCTTAGCCTACTGTATATTCTGTGTAATTGCTCTGCGGCCCCCACTTTGGGAACCACTGGTCAAAGGGAAGGTGATTGGTTTTAAAGTGGAAAGACTTAAGCACAACACATGATACTTCTTTGTTATTAACCTTTGAGTTGATCCGTGTTTGTGTTCTGTACAAATAAGCCTTGCCTTCATTTTGTTCTAGAAAAACCAGCTTGTTCTAGAAAAACCAGCTTCGTCAACCAAATGTTCACGGCAAGTTTATCTGAATAGCACTGTCCGTACACAACAACAGCTGCTTATCAAAACAGTCACACAAGGCATTAGAGTAACACAAGGGTGAAGATACAGATGTGGTGATGGTGGAGGATAGAAAGAGTAGAAGTCTGTCTCACATTTTCAGGAAGACTGTTCCAGATTTTAGATGCGCTTCTCGTCTCCACACGTCCTCACAACGGCTGCTATAGTTTGGGATTACTCTTTCTTCTCCTTCTCCACTTCCTCTGGTGTAAACTTTCATGTGGTTCCTGCTTTTATACAACAGAAGAGGCAGAGAGCTACTTTTATACAACAGAAGAGGCAGAGAGCTACTTTTATACAACAGAAGAGGCAGAGAGCTACTTTTATACAACAGAAGAGGCAGAGAGCTACTTTTATACAACAGAAGAGGCAGAGAGCTACTTTTATACAACAGAGGCAGAGAGCTACTTTTATACAGAAGAGGCAGAGAGCTACTTTTATACAGAAGAGGCAGAGAGCTACTTTTATACAGAAGAGCCAGAGAGCTACTTTTATACAGAAGAGGCAGAGAGCTACTTTTATACAGAAGAGGCAGAGAGCTACTTTTATACAGAAGAGGCAGAGAGCTACTTTTATACAACAGAAGAGGCAGAGAGCTACTTTTATACAACAGAAGAGGCAGAGAGCTACTTTTATACAACAGAAGAGGCAGAGAGCTACTTTTATACAACAGAAGAGGCAGAGAGCTACTTTTATACAACAGAAGAGGCAGAGAGCTACTTTTATACAACAGAAGAGGCAGAGAGCTACTTTTATACAACAGAAGAGGCAGAGAGCTACTTTTATACAACAGAAGAGGCAGAGAGCTACTTTTATACAACAGAAGAGGCAGAGAGCTACTTTTATACAACAGAAGAGGCAGAGAGCTACTTTTATACAGAAGAGGCAGAGAGCTACTTTTATACAGAAGAGGCAGAGAGCTACTTTTATACAGAAGAGGCAGAGAGCTACTTTTATACAACAGAAGAGGCAGAGAGCTACTTTTATACAACAGAAGAGGCAGAGAGCTACTTTTATACAACAGAAGAGGCAGAGAGCTAGACTTTTATACAACAGAAGAGGCAGAGAGCTACTTTTATACAACAGAAGAGGCAGAGAGCTACTTTTATACAACAGAAGAGGCAGAGAGCTACTTTTATACAACAGAAGAGGCAGAGAGCTACTTTTATACAACAGAAGAGGCAGAGAGCTACTTTTATACAACAGAAGAGGCAGAGAGAGCTACTTTTATACAACAGAAGAGGCAGCTACTTTTATACAACAGAAGAGGCAGAGAGCTACTTTTATACAACAGAAGAGGCAGAGAGCTACTTTTATACAGAAGAGGCAGAGAGCTACTTTTATACAGAAGAGGCAGAGAGCTACTTTTATACAACAGAAGAGGCAGAGAGCTACTTTTATACAACAGAAGAGGCAGTGAGCAAACTTTTACACAGAAAGGCAGAGATCACTTTATACATCAGAAGAGGCAAGAGCTACTTTTATACAACAGAAGAGGCAGAGAGCTCGTTTATACAACAGAAGAGAGAGAGCTACTTTATAACAACAGAAGAGGAAGAGAGCTATTACTTTTGTACAGAAGAGGCAGAGAGCTACTTTTATACAACAGAAGAGGCAGAGAGCTACTTTTAACAACAGAAGAGGCAGAGAGCTACTTTTAACACAACAGAAGAGGCAAAGAGCTACCTTTTATACAACAGAAGAGGGCAGAGACTACTTTTAAACAACAAAGAGCAAGAGCCTACTTTTATACAAGCAAAGAGGCAGAGACTACTTTTTATAACAACAGAGAGAGGCAGAGAGCTACTTTATATAACAACAGAAGAGGCAATAGCTACTTTTATACAGAAGAGGCTAGAGAGCTACTTTATACAACAGAAGAGGCAGAGAGCTACTTTTATACAACAGAAGAGGCAGAGAGCTACTCCTTTTGGCAGTCTTAAAAAAATTTAATTACGAAAAAACATGAACACATGTAAAATACACCATAATACTGTACAACCTTGAACTACTTGAAAGGGGCTGGAGAGCTACTTGAAAGGGGCTGGAGAGCTACTAATGCGTATAGTTGGTAGTCATTTCTATTCCCACAATTATTCAGATAATTTGACTAACCCTTTCTCTGGAATATCCTCAGTCTATGCCTAGTTGTGGCGCCACCTGCAGGTGAAAGTCAGATCTGTCAGACCTCTGAAGCTAAGCAGGGCAGGCTCTGGTTAGGAAGTAAAATAAATACAGCTTAACAAACAAGATACAGACACTTGATTGAAAAATACAGTTTGAAAAGGGTTTGAACCAAGAAAATGCTCATTTCCAACCCGCCTTGTTCACTGCACACAATACAAACACCGCACGCAACCATGTCGGAAGACAGACCCCGACAGAACCACACACACACACACAAAAACCCATGCACGCACACACACACAAAAATCCACGCACGCACACACACACACACACACACACACACACACACACAAAAATGCTGACCTTCAAATACACTCTCAAAACTCGCCTGTTTAGACAAGTCAATAACACCCTCACTTTTTTACTGTATTATAACAGTTTTTAAATGTACTTTGCCCTTGTATTTAAGAAAACCTTGAGTGTCTAGAATTAAAACTATTATTATTATAAGTCTATTGTAGTTTTTCTCATAAAAAAATAAAAAATAAAAATAATAACAATTGTAAACCGCTTTGTGTCCCCTTGTCTGGAAGGCGGTATTAAATATACATTAACTTACTAACTTATTACTTAATATTAAAAACCTCAATGGGTTAATGAACAGTTTAAAACAAATATCTGTGCTCAAGCTAAGTCGAGCTTGGTAATTTAGAGGAAGATGTGGCTGTGCAGCTGTCCCCTCCCATGGTTACCAGGTGGGCTTGATGGTTAGAGGGAAATGACTCACATAAAAAGCCTGTGTTGGTGGAGGTCGGAATAATTCATGTTTTTTTTCTCCTCCCCCTCTGTTCTGTGACTGTTGTGTGTTTTTCTATAGCTTTCATTTGACGTATTGGTCAATTACTAGTCCTGATACCACAGCGCAGAATCTCAAGTAACTTTAAACTCAATGCAACGACTATGCTAGATATTAGCATTAGCTTTAGCATTAGCATCAGCATTAGCCTTGGATTAGTGTAGTGAGAAATGTTCAAGGCTTATGGTTAATGATTCATGGGGGTGAAAGCCAGATCTTGTCAGATCTTAGTCTGAAGCTAAGCAAGGCAGGGCCTGGTTAGTGCTGTAATGGGAGACCTCTGGGAACACCAGGGGCCACAGTGGGGGCTGTAAAGTGCCAAATTGTGGTTGTAAGTAAGTAAGTAATCTTTATTTATACACCGCCTTTCACAGACCAGAGTCACAAAGCGGTTTTACAATTGTTTATTTTTGGGCACGTGTCCTCTCACCATCCACACAGAGATGGGCAGCGGGGCCAGTGGCGAATGCCGAGACCTATTGTACATATTTTTAGTGGAGGGTAAGCACCGGCAGCACCGGAGGAAACCTACCGCCAGACACGGGGAGAACATGCAAAACTCCACTCAGAAAGGCCCTGGTCCGACCGGGAATCAAATACAGGACCTTCTTGCTGAGAGGCGAGAGTGCTTTCCACTCAGCCACCGGACTCAAGTCTGGCACCTGAGGCAGACTTGAGTCTTGAATTTGTGACTTAACAATTGACTGGACACAATATAAAAAGACTTGGACTTTATCATCAGTGACTCTGACTTACATTAGACTTTCTCCTTTTGACTTGACCTTGGAAAACCCAAACTTGTAACAAACAGCACTTTTCAGCACTCATTCATTACATTTGCATTTTTATTTGTTTGAGCAATGTTCTTTTTCATTATAGATACAGATCCTACACCATACATAATCTGTATACATTTAATTTATCTGTCAAAAGGACTCGAAAGTCAAACCGTAGGACTTGGGACTCGCCTGTCTCGACTCTGGACTTCAGTGTGCCTCAGGGCAGCTGTGGCTACAATAGTAGTTTATCACCACTGTGTTTGGAGTGAATGAATAATAATGTGAAGTGTCTTTGAGATTCCTGAAAAGCGCTGTATGAAACAATGTCTATTTATGTTTTATATATAGTTTGACTTTCAATCTTCAATAAATCAAATAGAAAGACATCAAAAGTGTTGAATAATACTTATCTTTTATAATAACTCAATATATGTTTAATAATATTTATTTTAATAGTCTTTAATAATCTATTACATATTATTCCCAATGTTCTCTCACTTTGTTTGTCCCTTTGACCCTAGTGTTGTCCTTTCCCGCTCTTTTTATAGATCCACAGACAGCTCCCCCCCCCCCCCCCCCCCCCCCCCTCCCAGGGAAACCCTTCATTGTCGTCTACTTCTGGGGGGGGGTCGAGTGCTTGATTTGTAGTCTCTTTCTCCACTCATCTTCATCCAACCATAAACTGCCACTGATTCCTATTGTTTTGGTTTCCGTGGCGACCACCGTGCAGGGTCTGTGTAGGGTCTGTGCAGGATCTGTGCTGGGTCTGTGCTGGGTCTGTGCAGGGTCTGTGCAGGGTCTGTGCAGGGTCTGTGCTGGGTCTGTGCTGGGTCTGTGCTGGGTCTGTGCAGGGTCTGTGCAGGGTCTGTGCAGGGTCTGTGCAGGGTCTGTGTAGGGTCTGTGCAGGGTCTGTGCAGGGTCTGTGTAGGGTCTGTGCAGGATCTGTGTAGGGTCTGTGTAGGGTCTGTGCTGGGTCTGTGCTGGGTCTGTGCTGGGTCTGTGCAGGATCTGTGTAGGGTCTGTGTAGGGTCTGTGCTGGGTCTGTGCTGGGTCTGTGCTGGGTCTGTGCTGGGTCTGTGCTGGGTCTGTGCTGGGTCTGTGTAGGGTCTGTGTAGGGTCTGTGCTGGGTCTGTGCTGGGTCTGTGTAGGGTCTGTGTAGGGTCTGTGCTGGGTCTGTGTAGGGTCTGTGCTGGGTCTGTGCTGGGTCTGTGTAGGGTCTGTGCTGGGTCTGTGTAGGGTCTGTGTAGGGTCTGTGCTGGGTCTGTGTAGGGTCTGTGTAGGGTCTGTGCTGGGTCTGTGTAGGGTCTGTGCTGGGTCTGTGCTGGGTCTGTGCTGGGTCTGTGTAGGGTCTGTGCTGGGTCTGTGTAGGGTCTGTGTAGGGTCTGTGCTGGGTCTGTGCTGGGTCTGTGCTGGGTCTGTGCAGGATCTGTGTAGGGTCTGTGTAGGGTCTGTGCTGGGTCTGTGCTGGGTCTGTGCTGGGTCTGTGTAGGGTCTGTGCTGGGTCTGTGTAGGGTCTGTGCTGGGTCTGTGCTGGGTCTGTGCTGGGTCTGTGCTGGGTCTGTGCTGGGTCTGTGTAGGGTCTGTGCTGGGTCTGTGCTGGGTCTGTGCTGGGTCTGTGTAGGGTCTGGTCTGTGTAGGGTCTGTGCTGGGTCTGTGCAGGGTCTGTGTAAGGTCTGTGTAGCGTCTGTGTAGCGTCTGTGTAGCGTCTGTGTAGCGTCTGTGTAGCTTCTGTGTAGCATCTGTGTAGCGTCTGTGTAGCGTCTGTGTAGCGTCTGTGTAGGTTCTCTGTAGACCCTGCTGATATTGGGTAAAAGGGAAAGTTCTGAGAGATACGAGACTGAAGCAAAAGCGCACAGACAAGTTTTTAATCATATTCGATTCAGTGTCAGACCTCTGAAGCTAAGCAGTGCAGGGCCTGGTTAGTACTGTGATGGTAGACCTCTGGGAACACATCTGGGCACATCTATGAAATCCCGCCCAGAGATCCTGATTGCTTCATTATTTTTTGCTATTTTGAAAGAGCTTGCATTGCCCTCGATCCCAAACCCTTGTGTGTAGCCCCTGGTGGAGAACGCTGGAACTGCAAGGGTCTGGCCAGAGTATGGTTAGATGTGACCAGCCAACATACTCTAAACCAGGGAGTGTGCTTTAATAGTTGTCGTTGTTTAAGGCCTATATAAACTCCATAGAAGTGTACATGTGACTTCCTTATCCATGCAGCGAAATATTAATCAGTTAATTAAAACATTTCCTTTGAAGGGATTGTTATTGATTACTGTCAGTGACCCGTGCTCAAACTGAAGGAACTGTTAACCAGCTGCGCCACTGCCCTATAAATGCCTATATAAAGATAAGTGTAAAACTAACACTGATTTAATAATATAATAATTAGACGTCACCTTCACTGGATGCACTTATTATTTACATTAATTTTGTTTGTAGTTTGCAGTATTTAAAACAGTTTTTTTGTCCCTGTCTCTGCACATTTCTCACTCCAAAACTCAGATTGTCTCCTTTTCTGTTCCAAGAGTTTTTAAAGAAGTTGGACGCAGATGGTTTCAGTTCAAGGCTCCATCAGACTGGAATAAACTCACATCCATACGATCCAGTCTTTAATTGGCCTTAAATTGTTTTTGTATGTGTGTGTTTTTATTGTTGTTGTTTTGTTGTTGTTTCATTGAACCTATAGTTACGTTTAGGACCTGTCGTGTTGGAGGCTTTGTGAATGGAATAATTAACATGAGCGAGACTAATGGTTCTTAGGGTTGGGGATATAACTATAATCAATCTGTAATTATAGATTTTACATTATGCAAAATATATTATTCAATGACTGCGGAGAAAACGGGGTGACAGTGGCTCAGTTGGTAGAGAATTGGCCTTTGGGCCTGAAGGTTGTGGGTTCGAGTCCACCATGGAACCTACTTCACGACTCCCACTGATGTCTGCTGTCGTTGTGTCCTTGGGCAAGACATTTAACCCCACTTGGCCCTGGCTCTGACTGCCACCCCCCGACCCAGAAATGGATTAAGGGGAAGAATGGATGGATGGATGCAGACCAAATGGACGTAACAATCGTGTCCACTTTTGTCACGTCCACAACAGCTGTCTTAGAGCGCTGTTACTAGTTCAAATGTGAACAAATCTGTGTTTAAGTAGTGCCCCCTTCACTGGACAAAGCTGGAAACAAACTAGACTCAGGTTTAGGGTTAGCAAGAAACATTCAGCAGTGACGGCGCGGACGTCTGGGACTTTTTCATGTCATTGAACAAAATGTTACACATTGGTACAGTTTAGTGTGAAGTGATACATCTCAAGGGGTTCTCTTTCTTAAACTTAAACTTAATCTTAAGTTTAAGACCCCTTTTGAGGGGTCTGGGAGAAAGCCTTGGGAACATCCTGGGAATGTCCTGGAAAGCTGTAGAAGTGTATCTTTGCTTTAGCCGCAGCCAATGCCATTTTGTGAAGCCTCAGACCAAAGAAGTGAGTCCTTTGTCTGAGTGTGTCATCGGGAGAAAGGCTTGACCTGCAGCGATTTAAATCTTCTTTTCAAACTTAGTCACCCGAGTTTAGGTCAAATGTAAGAAATGGCTGCTTTTGTTTCAGATCTGACCGAGAAGAGGCAAAAGCAAGTTTAATTGTGTAGCACAGTTCATACACAAGGTACATTTAAGTGCCTAAATGCATTAAAATCATAAATATCCTTCCAAACTCCTCCGAGTCCCAGCAGGAGGCCAGTCCCTGTGCTCCTCCGAGTCCCAGCAGGAGGCCAGTCCCTGTGCTCCTCCGAGTCCCAGCAGGAGGCCAGTCCCTGTGCTCCTCCGAGTCCCAGCAGGAGGCCAGTCCCTGTGCTCCTCCGAGTCCCAGCAGGAGGCCAGTCCCTGTGCTCCTCAGAGTCCCAGCAGGAGGCCAGTCCCTGTGCTCCTCAGAGTCCCAGCAGGAGGCCAGTCCCTGTGCTCCTCAGAGTCCCAGCAGGAGGCCAGTCCCTGTGCTCCTCAGAGTCCCAGCAGGAGGCCAGTCCCTGTGCTCCTCAGAGTCCCAGCAGGAGGCCAGTCCCTGTGCTCCTCAGAGTCCCAGCAGGAGGCCAGTCCCTGTGCTCCTCAGAGTCCCAGCAGGAGGCCAGTCCCTGTGCTCCTCAGAGTCCCAGCAGGAGGCCAGTCCCTGTGCTCCTCAGCTTTGGTGCCGACCGGCACAACAGCTGTATTGTGTGTGTGTGTGTGTGTGTGTGCGCTTGCTTCAACACTGTGGGGACCATAATGGATGTATCTGTAGTATGTATACTTTCTCTTTGCAAATGTAGCTTCTGGAAAAGGGTGGAAAAGTTGAAGATACTTGGGACAGTAATTGAGAATTATATTTCCAATATTATGAAGAGTATTATGCAGTAGGGTTAGCGTAGCCTTATCCATCCGTACTCTCCGCTCAATCATCATGTCCTGCATGTAGTGTCTGGGTCTGGTCCCTGTGTTTGCGATTCCAATCGGTTGAATCCCATCCGACAAAACATTTTCAGTATACAAATCTTATTAAATAAAATACCACATTCCGAGACTGATCTTACTGTCAAAATGTGTTTATGTAGAATAAAAAAACAAATCATTCACAGTAAACAAAAAGGTATGGTTCCCACAGAAATACATTTTAAAGTATGACACTTTTTTGGCTCTCTGCTAAAAAGGTCCCTAGCTTTAGACTTTTAGACTAAATTAATTCTTGGTTGATCTAAATCTACAGCCCAAGTTTTGTTTGTAAAATGTGTTTCTTTCTTGCTCTGCTGTCACATTATGATGACGGATTTGCGTTTAGTTCATTCATTCAGTTGTTTGGAATCGCTTCATCCAGAACCAGGAAGTGGCTGGTTTCCGTGGTTACGCAGTGATTCATTCTCCAGAGGCTCGTTCCAAGAGGAAGATGAAAGCCAGAAAACAGCCGTGTCTGACCACTGCCAAATCCACTCCCTGCTCTCACTACTATAAATAACCACTACTACTACTACTACTACTACTACTACTACTACTGCCTAACATACTGGGAGAGAGGGAGGCAGAGAGGGAGGCAGAGAGGGAGGCAGAGAGGGAGGCAGAGAGGGAGGCAGAGAGGGAGGCAGAGAGGGAGGCAGAGACCCCCGAGAGAGAGACCAGGAGAGACTGACAAATAGAGGGAGAGACTGACAAATGGAGAGAGAGAGAGAGAGGGAGAGACTGACAAATGGAGAGAGAGAGAGAGAGGGAGAGACTGACAAATAAAGAGAGGGTGGTTTGTAGTCGATGCAGTAAAAATGTTACAATAATCAAATGCTTGTCATTTTGCTTTGGGTGAAGTATCGTTACTTACGTTAATGCATAGTAAATGACAAGTACAGCCTTATAGAAGAAAGTAGCTGCTAACCGCTAACCGCTAACTAGGGCTAGGCGATATGGCAAAAAAAAAAAATCTCCGATTTTTTCACACCAAATCCGATTTTCGATTTTAATCGATTTATTTTTTTCTATTTAAAAACAAACTACAACTGACAAAGAAATAGATTTTCCTTTATGCAGTTTAATCTAAATCCCCATGGAGCATAAGTGTAACAGGAATTAAGCCTTAAAACATGCTTGTAAACGAGATGGCTCTGCCATTGTAAACAGTGAAAATGTAGCTTAACAGTTTTATAATAACTTCACTTACAATGACACTATGCACCTTCAAAATAACTTAAATCACACAAACAAGGCCCATCGCAAATATATCAATCCTATTAAACACATGCATTATTTACATGAAATATCACATTTTTAAAACTGATTACTCAAAATAGAAATGTTGTAACAGACAGTATTTTCCAAAAGCCTCCTCGGGTTTTCATGCTTGTTCTTTCAACTGTGCCTGAGTAGCTGTGCTGTAGTACAACGCTCGGTCCAGCTGGTGGCGCTAATACTAACTTCAGTGACTCCCGCATTGTGCGAGCTTCCTGTTTACATTCTGATGCTGTAGCTAGCAGCTACTGTAGCTAACAGCTACTGTAGCTAACAGACAGCGGGGAACACGTTGTTTGTATCAGAGCAATGAGAGCAATGTGTGAGACGTGTCTTTACCCAAAGTGCAGCGGCTCAGTGGGACACGAGTGTGTGCGCGCCACGGACACGGGAGTGCGCTTTGGAATAACGAGCGTGAGAGAGCGTGAAAGATGTGGCGTACGACCGGAGCCTGTGTGTGTGTGTTCTGGCGATTAAATAAAGTCTGATTCTTGAACGTTTGAAGTGTTATTGCAACAGCACCAACTGTGAGAGCGAGCATCAGGCCAGAGGGAGACTGTTAGCATTAGGTTAGCTTCAAAATGACTGCTCAACACCATAGACCCGCGGTTAGCGCGTTAGCGCTGTAGTTCTGCGCTGGAGAAAATAAAAATCGAATTTTTAAAAAAAGAAATCGCCCTAAACGTAAAACTCGAATTAATGATTAAAATCGATTAATCGCCCAGCCCTACCGCTAACTGTTATTCTTTGAAGCAGAGATGGAGTAGGAGAGAGCATGTTTCTGAATCAATGGTGTGTCTCTGGTGTAGTGTAAAGAAACCTCCTTGTTCATGCTCTTTGCCCCTAACTCTGTCTGTAGGTCAGAAAGTCCCCCTGGAGGCCCCGGTTCAGTCGCCCCCTCACACGCCTCAGTCTGAGTCAAAGTGAATCAGCCAGTGTGGTTTCTTCTGACTGCAGAGAGGATAAAGCTCTTTCTGATGCAAGCCATGTTTTTTTTTATTTAGATTTGAAGCAAAGTTTTGATTCCCATCCATTTATATTTGATTATGTTTGGTCCTGAAACTAATCTCTCAGCTGTCCATGTCACCGACACAGATGAGTTTGTTCCTGGTTTCATTCCAGATTTACGGAATT